GAAAGTACAAAAAATTAAAATAAATAAGCATTATTTTTGGTTACTGTGAATCATAAAAAGGCTTCTCTAGTACCTTCAGTAATACCTAGTGTAATATCATGCAACTACTTCATTAGGTACGTGTTGCTAGTACTGGATTGGACCCCTTTTGCCTTTTGAAGCCAAAAGGAAGCAATAAAAGCCTTAAATCTTCATGGCACAAATTCACCTGATCAGAGATTTTGGTGCATATTGACATGACAGCATCACACAGTTGGTGCACATCCGTGATGTGAATCTCCCATTCTACCGAATCCCAGAGATGCTCTTCTGGACTTGGATGTGGTGATTGTGGAGAGTGTTAACTCATTGTCGTGCTCAAGGAACCAGTTTGAGATGATTTGAGCTATGTTGGGTGTGCTGTAGGTATAAAGGGATGAACTTGGTCTGCAGCAAATTTGGGTAGGCTGTGGTGTATGATGCTTATTTAAGCTGAACCCTCCGGGGCTCAAAGTGCTCCAAGATAATCTTATATTGTCCAAGTTTGGTGAGGTGATGTAAATGTAGCCTCAGTTTCGTGTTCGTGTGGTCTTTTGCTACTCTAGTCCATCGACTAAGACATTTTGTGCATTCAGAGGTGGAGCACCTCTGCATACCTTGGTTGTAAGGAGTGGTAATTGGAGTTACTGCTGCTTTTCTATCAGCTCAAAGAAATCCGGCCACTCTCCACTGTCCTCTGGCATTAACAAAGCAGTTTCTCTCAGAGCAATGCCGGTCGTTTGGTAGTTTCTCTTTTTAATAAAATAGGCAAAAGGCTTTTCTATCAGGTAGCACTCAGTGAAGTTACTCTGTTTTCTAACTCTAGTCAAGAAAGTTCTTGAAAGTTCTGAACTTGTTCTTTTTTCTTCTTTTTTTTTTGCTACATCAATGATTCATGATTGAACTTTGATGGAAACGCTCACTGTTAAGGAGATGATACTATATATATGCGCTTGCAAATCCTATTTCGTAGAGACTAAAGTACCTTGCTCTTTTGCAGTCTTAGCTGTCAATAGTCAAGACTGCAGAAGTTTATTTGTTAGTCTGAAAACCAAATAAGGACACTGTGAATACTAGTCAAGCTCTCATCCAAATGAAGCACAAATTCTAAAGATGAATTTGTTAACAGTAAATGCAAATTAACGCCCATTTCCACTATTTCTGAGCGGGCTGGTATTATGCGGGGAGCTGTGGTCTTCCCTCAGGAAATGAAAGTATATTTTTATGCACAGATTTGTACTGTTTCTGCTCTGATTTAAAGTGGAAATGTCCTTACTAATGTAAAAGAAGACCAAAAAAAAATCATGCCCCATAAAAAGTGACAGTGAGGCTGTCGCGTGTTGTATTAATTTCAAACATTTTCGGTTTTGATTAAAAATGAGCCAGCAGACACACAGGAATGACTTCCTTTTAATTCCTACTTCTGTCCTCTTTTGTGTTTGCCTTGGTCTAGATCTGCGAGTCAGAGTGTAATGAGTTGACAATTCTGTCTGATAGCAAACTGATTTTATCTCTGGTTGTGTCTATCTAAGGCATGAATTCATTTTATGATTAATTTAACAACTGCTTGTGTGCTCACATGTCTTCCAGCGAGATTTCTGCTCATGTTCTGGGATGATGTTCTTATGTTCATTTTTTTTGAGGGTGTATGAAAACAAGAGAGACGTTAACTAATTAGACAGCAAACTAGCAACAACACTTCTAAACTTGAATAAGAGTGTCCAACGTGTGTGAAAGAAATGCCTTAATATAAAGCCGCCCACTCTTTCCCTTTCTGCTTTCTACATTTTTCATGTGTGCACCACAGGAGAGGCTGCTGAACAAAACCTATGGAATCATGGCACAGATTTGCAGCTGTATCAGTCAAAGAAAGGAAACATTAAAGATTTCTTTCATGTATCATTTTCTTATTTTTTCAGGTAGTCTTTGTGTATTTGTTGTTTATGATCAAATCAAACCCCATCCCAGCAGTTCGACTACGGTTGACAGATTTTTGATAATATGGGCAACTGAGACATTGTCAGTGCATTTCCCTTCGCGCCCTATGCTAATTCAGATTCTAATTACCCTATACTTTCTCTCCTTTACCCGCTCGGCTGTTGATTCAAACTAGGATAATCA